CCCTTTTAGATAAATAATTCAATCAACCTTATGTTTCCTCCTCCATCAATCAAAATCTATGAGGTAGCTAGCGATGTTTGACGTTTCATGGAATAATTATAATTAAGTTCACGTAATATTATTTGTTTTTTAACATCCTTTTCTTTTTCTTTAGTCCCTTTGTCTTCAGGCACAATATTTTAAAATTTCACAGGTCAATTATTGTCTTTTAAAATATAATTTCAAATGACAATGATACATATTTATAACACATCATGCTTAAGTTTTTATATCAAATGAAATTAATATTATATTTGAAAAATTAATTACTTAATTAGAGGATATTTTTTAGTTTCCCTTTTTTTTATTTTGTACATATTAGAATCAATATAGTGTTAGTAGATATTTGAATAGTTTTCACAAGATTTTAAATTCAAATTAAACTTTATTGTCATCATTATACATATTTTTTATGGTTTCTTTAGTCTATAGTTATATAAAAAGATAAAATTTAGGTACTATATTAAAAGGTGTTATTCTTCAAACAAAATTATAGTATCACCTCGGTAATATGACCAATAAAGAATTTCATTAAGGGGTGTTTGATACATATTTCTTTTTTTAGAATCTGACATTGAAAATATTAATTTTTCATATTTAGTTGGTTATTTTAAAATTAACATTCTTAGAACACATTATTTTCTTGGAATGGTTTTTATATGGGTACCCCACAAAAGTTGAAAAACTAACATTCTCAAACTAAAGATAAAACTTTGATGCAGTAAAAATGTCATGTTAATTTCATTTACTTATTTTATGTAGTAAAAAAAAATTAATTCTCATATAACATTTATAAACATTCTCATTTCTTATTTCTTTTCCCTTTATATACCAAAACAAAAAACATTCTTATAAATATTTATCCCCAACCAAGTATTTTTTTCATCATTCTTAAGAATGATGATTGCCATAATTTATGATTCTCATTATGAAAAAAAAAGTTATCGAGTATCAAACACTCCCTGATTATAAACATTCATTATTAAACACTACAAGAAATGTTACATATAATGACATACAAAAAGTGTCACTATAAGTATAATATATATAGGTATATGTCTATTTGACATATAGTTACACACAATTTTAGTGTTGATTTTGAATGAGATTTAATAATATATTTTATGTGTCACTATAGCCTATACCCACACTTTTTATTAATATACCAACATATATTATAATTATTGTATGAGTAAAAGTAATTTTTAATAACATGTATAGTGTCACTATAGGGTGTATGTCACTATATGACAATTTTCTTATAGTAAAAGTAAAATTTCGATACTGATTAAAAAATAACAACTACAATATCAATGTTACTACAGGTAAGTTTTGTCCATTATAAAAATTGAGTTAATCATTTATACATTGTCAGTGTAAAATTTTTTTACACTGGTAACCAATCATATCTTTTAATAATGTCATGTCAGTTACTTATTTAATAAAATAATAATAAAATAAGCAACTTTAAAAGGTATAATTAATTGTCAGGGTAAAAAACTTTACATTGACAGTGTATAGATGATTAACTCATAAAAATTACCCAACTTTTGCCCCCATGTTATTCTCTTATGCACTGTTGGTTTAATTTTTGGGCTTCTTTTACATGTAGACATGTCATTCTCTTGCCACACGAGATTCTCTCTCTCCTTCGCCTTTTAAGTTCAATGTGCAAAGCACCAACAAAGTTCTTACCTATCTCTAGTATTAATTAATACTCAAACCTTCTCAATCAATATTATGTAAAATATATTCGCATAATTAAAATAATATTTCATAATTAAATTAAAATCGAATACATGCTCTCTTTTTTTGTATTTCGATCATTATTTTTATTATCAAAAAATAATTTTCCTTAATTTTTCTTCATATTTGAAGTATCCATTTAAAAATCAATAATTGTACTCATTCATAAATTACTTCAAGTCAAGTACGTTTAACTATGAAATTCTTAAATGATGAGTTATTAAAAGGTAGTTGCATCTTATTGGTATAGGTAATATTAATTAAATTTTTTTAGGTCATCATCAATTATATAGTCTCACACTTATACAGTATTTGGATCTCTATCATTTCAATGTGCTAAAGATGTTACAAGGCCACCACACTTCCTTTGATTTCCTAAATTAAAGATGACATGACTTTGATACCATTTGTATTATCTCTCAAGTTTGACATTTTAGTAGTTGCACTTCACACAGTGACACTTTATTCAATTCTTTATTGATTAAAATATTTCACTAATTAAAAATTTAAAATCTTTTATGGGTAACCCTTTTCAAGATGCAAGTTTACTTTTATGATCAATGATTGTCTCTATAAACAAACACAAGATTATGTATTTTTTTCTCACTCACTTTCTAAGAAACTTCCTAGAATCTCACTCATTCTTAAAATACTACCAAATTAAAAATACTTAACTATTAAGTGATAAGCTACCAAAATCAGTATATATGTTACTGGTTAATTCTTTTAAGTCATCATCAGTTGTTCAATTTCACACTTATGCAACCTTTGAATCTTTTTCATTTCGGTATGTCATTGATATTATAAGCCTATCACATTTCATCTAGATACCTAAATTAGAGAGAATCTAACTCTAATACCATTTGTAATGCCTTTTACATTTGACATTTCAACATATACACTCCATAACACTTTACTCAATTTTTTTTTGGTTAAAATCTTTCCTCGATCAAAATCCTCTATGGGTAATGCTCTCCAACTTGCTTGTCCACTTTTGGAATCAATTATTATCTTCATAGATCAATATAATATTTTTCAATATGTTTTGTTTTTACTCACACTTTCTGAAAAATTTCCTAGAAGTTCACTCATCCCTAAATTATTTTAAGTCAAGCACAAGTAACTATGAATTCTTAAGTGATAACTTATCGAAAAATAAATACATCTTATTAATATGAATAGTACTAATTAATTCTTTTAAATCATCAGTAATGGTAAAGTATCGAACTTGTAACTATGAACTTTTTTTTTTGCATAAGATAAAATAACATACATTATTTTTTCTCAAAAATATGCATATGTTAATTGTACAAATAAAAATATATTATGATATGATATTCGTACATTATTTAAGTTTATCATACTAAACATGATCCAACTGAATAAGAATTTTTCCAACACTTAAAGTATAAAGGAAAATAAATCATTAAACACTTGCCTGTTAAAAATCATTGGACATTCTAATGAGACTATCAATGGACGCTTTGATTTTCTTTATAGATAATTCAAAATTAACTTACATGTAAAAATTTAAACTAAATATATCAAAATATTTAATTTAATTTTTTAATAAAATATAAAAACATCCACAAATAATAATAAATCTCCATCTAAAATAAAAAAATGACAAATTAATATACTAATTGTAATAAAAAATGTAAATTAATATAAATAATTAAGTTATGTTAGGATTGAAGAATATAAATAAACACATTGATCTCTTCCAAACATTAATTAAATAGGTGAAAAATTATTAATTAAAAAGAGAGAATGTTAGTTTAAGAGATATTAAAGGTAATTTTGGAAAAACTTAAATATGTTTTAAATCTTTATAAAATAAGCAAACTTTGATTTTAGTTTGTACAAATTTCTTTCTTTATTTTTTATTTTTCTAAAATTTGTAAACACAATTTTTAGTCCTTTATAAAATGAATATGTTTTAAATTTTAGTCCTTACAAAACATTTTTTTATTTTTGTCCTCTAAAATCTAAAATTGCCATTTTTAATTTTTAACAATCATTTTTAGATAGATGAATAATATTTATTTTAAAGAGTTTAAAAAAATTGAGATATTACATACTAATATAATAATAATAACAAACATGAAAAACACGAGATTACTATTTAATCTTTTAATAAGTAATTAAAAATGATTATATATTATAATAAATTAAAATCAATCATTTTAAATTTAAGAAAGATGAAAAACAAAGAATTTTTTTTATAAAAATCAGAAAAACAACGAAAAAAATTATAGAAATAAAAATAAAAATTTATTTAAAGTAATTTATTATTAACAAATTTAATACTATTAACTAAATTAATAATTACTTTCAAGAGGATAATTTAATTTAAAAAAAAATTTATAATCAAAGACAGGTAGTATAATTTAGGTTCATCGTAGTATGACCTGTACTTAAACAATAGCTAAGGAAGAAAGATATCAACTTCTTAACGTTTATTATAATGTACATTGGCATGTCAGGTCATGAAACTTTAGCTAAAATAAGGTAAAAATATACTTTTTGTCCCTTATATTATTTATTAGTATCAATTTAATCTCACTTTAATTAATTGAATTAATTTAATCTCACATCTTTAAAATGTATCTCAATATTTAATCTTATGTTTCTTCTATTTAAATACTTCACGAATGTAACACGTGTCATGTTACGTGTCATGTTATCATGTCACGTGACACGACATCATGACACGTGGCATGACACATAGCACAATGACAAGACACGTGTCAGATATGTTAAATATTTAAACAGAAAAAACGAAAGGTCAAACATTAAGATACATTTTAAAGATGTGAGACTAAATTAATTCAATTAATTAAAGTGAGCCTAAATTGACACTAATAAATAATATAAGAGTATTTTTACCCTAAAATAAATATGTATAATAGTTCCAATCAATATTTGTTATTCAACTCGCCACAATGATGCACTCACAACTACTTCAGTTAGTTTGGATATTATCTCTGAAAGGAGATGACCAACACAAGAAGAACCACACTACAAAATATTCATGCAAAGACACAACACAGACCAAATACAAATAACAAACTGTTAATAGTTATATTCTTATCCATGCTTTTGGTATCACTGTCCTATTAGAATTTCACTTTGGTGATCTAATCTTTAATGCCAACATTTAATACGTCAAGTTGCAGAACAAAACCTTATAATCTAATAGGAAAACAATAGCAGAAACATGAAATTGCCACTAATATTTGTCCATAAAAAATGGTAATAGACTAACTTGCAAATATACCTGAACAAATACAATATCTATATAGCACTGCAAGAAGCATTCAGATTGAAATTCGCGCCAGATGAAAGGCTGAAATTTGAATAAAACTTTGCTGTATTTGGTCATAAAACTCTACAATAAAATGTTGCTCTATATATTCTTGATGCTATTGTTTTAACTTCAAAGTAACCCTTGTCAAAACATGGTGAAGATAAAATGTGCAAGAGTACCTGTGGCTGCAACATATCACTGCCAACAGACAAAAGCCATGTCTCAAAAATAGAAGCATGAAAACCAAAAACAACCCCAAGTTCTATGGTGTCTTAGATTCTAGTTGTCGGCTTCCAAAACACCTTTCATCTCTCCTAAATTGAACCTACACCAAACCAATCTTTTGATGGTGATTTAAAATTCTAAGGAGAGAAATATTCAATTATACCAAAATTGCTAAAGTGAAGAAGCACAAAACTGTAAGTTCACATTCTCAATGACGCTGACTATCTGATCAACATTCACTTTCTATTATGCCTTTTTGTCTGTGGCCTTTTTTGGGGACAACAAGGTGAAGCTGCGCGATTTCTGAGTTTGATGTCCAAAAACTTTCCTCAAAGGTGTAAATTCTGATTCATCATCATCACTGTCAATGTTGTCTGGAGTATGCCTATTCTGATATGCTCTGCGCTGCAAAAGAAAGACGTTGAAATAATAGCTGACCAAATCTTCTCTACTCTTCATAGGAAATGTTTTAAAAAGATGATCCCAAAAACACTTATCAAGTGAAGCAGGATTTGATTTCACCACATCGATGAACTTCTTCTCTTCTTGCTCAGTCCATGAACCCCTAACTTCTTCACCCACCTTGTGCAAATTCCACAGGTAAAAAGCCTCGCCCAATTCCAACTTAACTTTAGACCTTTTCTTAGCAATGTGGAACCGGACACACTCAACAGAACCTTGTACTTGGCAGCCACATGAATCTTGTCTTCCCTTTCCGATGGGGTCCCTTTCAACTAGAAGAAGTTTGGAATTTACCTTTTCCAGAGGCCATATTTGGGTCCCCAACCACTTAGAATCACTCTCATATGACATGTCAGTCCATTTCGGCACTTTGGCTTGATGGTTTGGGCCCACAGGGATGTGCACCCTGACACATTTATCACGACTTGAGCGTGCAGTACAAGAGTCAAGTAAATGTTTCTCAGGACAATCTTCAACATGAGGACTCGGTGTTTTCTCTGAACCTCCAGATGAAGCTGAAGAGACTCCGTCAGATTTAGAATTTCCTGATAAATGCCTCTTGTCACATTTCAACCTCTGTCTAAGACTGTACACTGCCCCAACACGATCATCATACATGGAAGGATGCATCTTCTGACCCTGCAAAATGGCATAAGATTTAGGCTTTAATGTGATGTCACAGGGATGATTTCAATTTTCAATAAAAAACAAGTCGAAACATTTGGAAAATTATTCAAGGCATCTCAAGAAGCAGCTTTGAAGAAGACCATTATCATTCAAAAGGAAAGCAGTTAATTCTATCAAGATCTTATCTATAAATGGTAACTACATGATACATATTAAATTAACTAATGACTAATGACCCTCTGCAATTTGGCAAAACCCTCCCAGAAAACCATTCATAAATCCATTAATGGCATACACGTCATCAACAAGATGGGCTTACAATATTCACAGCATGCATTATTTATATATATTTTGCTTATATATTATAGATTTCTCTATTATATAATATATAATTATAATTATGCATTAATATTTCCTTAATGTATGGGTTGGAGAGTGGTTCAATTTGGCGTGCAAGATCAACACCCACTCTCATACTAGAAACGAAAAAAGCCTAGCTTCTTTCTCCTATCAGCCACCACCATTCATTAAAGGTCTGTTTGGTTCAAAGGAGGGGGAAGGGAGAGATTTTAATGGAGGGGAGGGGAAAGGAAGAGAAGGGAGGAGAGGAAATGAGTTCAAAATTTTGTTTGGTCGAGAAGGGGTGAGGAAAGGGGAGGTAACTCATCTCTCGTTTGGTTTACAAGGAGAGGGAAAGAATTTTAAAAACCAATTTACCATTGTAACCTTACAATTTTAAATTTTAAAACATAAGTAAGGATATTTTAGACATTATACTACAAATGTTTTACAATCTCTCCCCTGAGCTAAAATTGAGTTAGGAGAGATTTTACTCCCCTCCCCCTCCTAAAATTTGAACCAAACAAGCTAAATTTAATAAAATTTCTCCCTTCCCCTCCATTTTCCTCCAACCAAACACTATGTAAGTTTCTCTGCCTTGTTTGTTGGGCTCTATTTACATCAATACTAGATTAACACCCATGCAACAGATGGCATAATTTAAAAGATGATCTTGCATACAACTAATACAATTCTAAATTCTAAATTAATCTAACATTACATCAGCAACCATTTCATGTTAAAAATAAAAATTTAAAAAAAAAATCATACTGAAAAATTAAAATTTAAAAATTTGAACATTGTAATAAGACATGTATAATAATGACTTCTTTCCATAAAAAAGATGGAACAAAAATTCAAAATGTGAATTCTTTGAGATGAACTTAAAATCAAAAAATAAATTGAAATATGTAGTAAGATATTAACAAATTCCCACCACAAATAAGATATTCACAAAGATTCAAATTTAGTATAGTTTGCAATAAGATAAAAATAGAAATTTTAGATTTAAAGGTTTTTTGAAATAATTTATTGTGCTACCATTAGGCACAGAAAATTTATGAGACATCAACTTTGATGAAACATCAATGTCACATGCTAAATGATTTCAATATTAATTATAAATGATTCTCCTTTCATATTATACAACAATACATCAATGTCAATTATATAAATGATCTCCGAAAAGGAAAATGGCTCACCATAAATAAAATAGCAGCAAAACATATGAGAAGGAAATTAAAAATCAATTATCCAAGAATTAAATTATGAAGGACACTAGGGCAAAATTTAGGTAATAAGTACATAATAATAATTAAAGACCCCATAAAAGAGTTATCTAACAACAAATGAAAAAAAAAAAAAAAAACCATATTCAACATAGAGGAAAACTCAACAGAAGATTTGCAATATGAATACTTTAATAGAACAATATAGAAAGGTGCAATCCAGAAAACAGATAAGAAAATAGTTAGTAGTTATAAACAAATACCAATACATTAATAAGTAATAGGGGAAAAATGCAGAAATACGCCATCCATGATTTCGACATATAAATAGAATAATTATAATGCTAATGGTGAAAGGGTCTATAACAGAAAATACTGATAATGGTAACCAAACATTAAAAAAAAATCACATAAAGACATCTATTTGATTATTAGATAATTCAGCAAATAAATTTATCCAAAATTTATAAGGATCTTTCTCCATGACATATGGTCTCAAAACAAAACAATGACATTGAACCCTATAAACTAGTTCATATTTCATTAATGATCTGCATGGCAAACGAAGAGCACATGGTATTTTCAAATTACCTGCCAACTAAGTTTTTCAGTGATTGTCTGAAAATCTTTCTTCAGAAAGACAGCTTCTCGAAACAACAAAGCCTGCTTCCAGATCTCCTGACTAGTGTAAGACTTCCACTTAGACTTTTCAGGCATTGAACCAACTGCAGGGTCACAAGGATTTTTAGCAATGCTAGTAACCCAACTTAGCATTTCTGACTTCAACTCTCTCTTCCTCTTACGACCAAAGCTCTCTTTGTCAACACTGGATGGATCCAATATCAAGACATCATTACCATTGTCGTCATCATCATTATCACAGCTCTTGCTTCCATCAAACAATTTAGGCATGTCACATTCTGCATCAGATGCAGCAATGGTTACTCTTTTGCCTTCACCAGACACTTCCAATATATCCATTTCAGTATTAAAACTGCACATGTTTCTGAGATGAGGCTCATTCGTCCCATGGTCCACCATATCCAAATCAACAACTCCTTCACTCTGAACTTCATTGGCCACATTAGACTCTGGATTCACACCCTTCACTCTATTAGTACCACACGACTTCTTCCCATCTAGATAGTCACATACCTTAACAGATTCATCGCCACTAGAATCTTTATTCTTGTCCTTCGTTCTATTACCAACACACAACTTCCTATCATCTAAATCCATATATAACCTCTCATGTTCGGCCCCATTTGATTCCGGTTTCACACCCTTCACTCTATTAGTACCACACAACTTCCTCCCATCCGGACATTCACACACCCTCCTCTTGATTTCATCGGCCCCCTCTTCCTCGCCATAATCTTCCGACAAAGATTCAATTTGTGCCTCCGACAAAGATTCAACTGGTGCCTCCATCACACGCTTGCAAAACTTAAGTTTATCATCCACTAAACCACCCTCAGGGAACTCACCATCAGCAGCATTCTTCAAACATGTCTCTACAGCACTCAAGTGCTTACTGTAAACAAGTTCCACAGAGGAACCAACCTTCACACCCAACCCATATTCTTCCCCCACCAAATCCCACAACCTGTTCTTACAAACAGCATCATAACCACCTTTCTCCTTCACCACCATGAAAAGCTTATACAAATCCAAGGGTTCCTCGTTACTCATGAATTTCTATGCAGTAGGCACAGATCTCTTTCAAAACAGCCCAACGAGGAATTGATCAAAACAACATGTACCCTTATAACATAAACCCACAAAAACACTTAGTATCAACTTCAAGTTCAAACTCATTCAAGGGGTTTTAACAAAATCGAAGACAACCCCACCAACGAGACACACCAACCTGCCATGTATATCAAATCCAAATCAAAAAAAAAAAAAAAAACAATGTAAAGGTTGAATTTTTATTCCCCCACCGCCACCGAGAAAAACGAAAAAATGCAGAAACTAAGGAAGGGCGACTAGGTATGAAAGGATTCAAGGTGATAATTGAGAAAAGGTACCGATTCAGATTCATGGGTCGTGGCCTTTGGAGAAAGAAAACTCTGTGCTTTCTCTCTCCACACGATACTTGTAAGAGAGAGAAAGAGACAGCGAGGTAGAGAATTTTCAGAGTCCCGCGCTTTGTTTCTGTGCCTAAAAATCTAAAAATTGCAGATGGTGTATTTTGGAGAATGAAGGAGGGGCCAAAGTTCAAGTTTTGAACAGATGCAGACCCTATTCTTCAAAATCCAAGCGGGTTTTTGAAAATCTGAAAAAGAAAATAGCTTCAGAAAATTAAATAAAAATAAGGGTTTTCAGAAATTTCAGGGAAAAAATATATATTTGTTAAACGGACCGATTCTAAATTTTCATTGGAAGTAAAAAGAGGGGAAAAAAATTTCATTGGAAGTGAAAAATAGAGAAAGAAATGGGGACATACCAGTATCAATAAAGAGAAACTTGAGAGAATGCTTCCACAACCAACCTAATGTGACCTTACTTTTGCTTTGGGCACCAACTTCTCTCTTAACTTGCTAAATCCTAATTTTTTTTCTTTTGCCCTAAAACTTTTTTCTTTTCTCCTTTTTTATATGCTTATATGAGGAGAGAGAGAAAAGAAGAATTTCAAGAGTTTCATTTTAAAAATAAAAAAATAAGGTGTCTTTTATGAAGAAAGAAATCAAGTAACACTAAATGGATTTGGGTTTGAAAAGGTTTCAAAAAATGTAAAAATGTTTGTCTGTTGGTCCAATGGGCCTAATAAATTAGTTGGATTGATCCCTAAAAATTATGTTTGAGGTCATTTTGGTTAAATCCAATCTGATCTTAAATTTTCACTAAACAGAGGTGGCTTTATTTATGATAAAATAATAAATAATAAATTTAATACTATATTTGTATATCTTTGTTTTAAGGTTGACATTTTATGCATATTGAATTTTGTTTTAACTTTTAGCATTTATTTATGGTTATAATTGATATACTTTATTTTATTTCTATTGTTATGTATCATTCATAGTGATTAAAATAATGATCTTAATTCAATATATTCTCTCTGGACTATTTACTGTTTTACAAGATTTGAATCCACAACAACGTGTAGTTATGATGATTTAGAGCTTGTGGCAAAGATGATATGATAAGCCTTGGGATGATAAAGCTTGTTCAAATTATTTTGTTATTCAACATGGTGATGGATTTTTTCATGAATGAAATAGCACTCAATGTGCAACTAGATGCACAAGACCAACTCCTATAAGCAACATTGTCACGTAATGGACACCACATTACAACAAAATGAATTTTTAATGACATTTAATATGATTTTCGATGACAGTAAAAAATGTTGCAAAATCTTTTACCAGCATTTCCACATTAATCATTGTATGCAATGTCATTAAAACATTTATCAACAATTATTCGCATGCTGATAAAGATCCTTATAATGGTCGAAAAAAATGTATAAGCTTTTGTTTTACTCAATTAATATTTTTTGTTATTGTCACTAAAAGTTTAAGAAATGATTCATAATACTCTTTAATTACCTTATATCTAGTCGATGTGAGACTTGTAAAATGATGGTTGTCCTCTACTTATATATTCTTTAATTTCCTTACTTTTTTAATTGTTTTATTTCCTAATTAGTTTTTTATCTATAGTCAATGTGGGACTTGAATTTTTTTCTTATTTTTTAATTGTCTTATGTCCTAAGAAATATGAGACTTATAAGGTGAAAGTTGTTTTCTACTTACATACTCTTTAATTATTTTATCTATGGTCGATGTATGGCTTGGATTTTTTCCTTTTTTTTTAATTGTCTTATTTCCTAAGAGATGTGGAACTTGTAAGGTAATAGTTGTTTTCTACTTACATAATCTTTAATTATTTTATCTATAGTCGATGTGCGATTAAGTTTTTATAATAAAAAATTGTAGATAATAGTAAATTTTGGTGTAATGTAAATATATTTTTAGTGGTTATTATATATTAGTCATTAATATTTTTATTAGATAATAAAATAGAGACAATTAATTTATTATCGTTAAATAATTGACAGTAATAATAAATTTTGTTGTAGTGCCATTTGCACCAAGTTCATTCAAATGTAATGTTGATACTTTTTTTATGAGCAAAATTGTACTAGTATTGTTTATTGTATTTGTAATGTCGATGGTAATAATACTATCACAATAACCAATTGGCACCAACCTTGTATGGATGTTTCAGAAGGTGAGGCATGGATAATTTTATCAACAATCTAATTTATTGCCCTTTTAGGTATGAACAATGTGATATTTGAATTAGATAGCAAAGTAGTGGTAGATAAAATAAGAGGTTTTGCTATTGATAAATATGAGTTATGAGCCATAGTAGAAGATTGCAAAATCTCTTTGTCTCACAATCCAACATATGATATTGTTTTATTAAGAGGTAAGTAAATGGTGTTGTCCATGAGCTTGTTAGGGTGGCTCCATCATTACGTAGCCTTCACTTTCAATCATGTTATTCCATGCATTGAGCAGTTGGTTATTGTTCTTACCGGAGATCGGTCGTAGGGACGATCTGTTGGGCAAGATTGGTGAGCCTCCTTCGCTGGGTACGATTGTTGTTCCAAAGTGGGGGGGGTACCTGCAAAAGAGCCTCTGAGGCTAAAGTTAGTGTTTGTGGGTTATATGGGTCTCGTATAAGTAATGCACGTACCTTAGTGTAAATTAGGGTTTTTCTGGGCCTTGGGCCTGAGTTCGGTTATGACCTGTTTAGATAGTGGGCCTTTGGCGTGGCCGATGTCGTGTGGCGCATGTCCGATGTCAATCTGCGTTGTGATGCCGAGCTCAAGCTCGACTTCGCGATATGGATAGTACACTAGCCCCTCGAGCTTCGAAGACCGTGGGTTGAGGAGTTAATACCGAGCTCGATGAAGGGTCGTGACTCTTCGCATACGCTTCTCTGTCGTGGTGCCATGTGTCCTAAGCGTCACCTCGCTTCCCGAAACGCATGGGAGGCGTGTAAATGGGTACTAACAATTTTGTAATGATGGTTGTACCCATCATAATGGGCTTCATTTAATGCCCATTACTTTTGTCATTTCTTTGCCCTCGCGTCACGTTCATCCACATTCCTATTTTGAAAGCATTTTTCCCTCTCCTCTATGCACGCACTTCCTTTTCATCTTTTTGGCTTCCCTCGCACACTTTTTTCTCCGTCTCCTACCTCCCTTGTTTCCGTTCTTCTTCGTCGTTGCCGTTGTCGGTAATCAGGTCCCCGTCCTTTGTCATTGTTCTATCATTATCAAAGGAGTACTAGGTACTTCGTCTCCTCCGTCTTCTACTCCTTTTCCCCCCATTTCTAGTCTTTTCATCTTCTTGATGGTTGGAGAGAGTAGTGTCGCACCTTCTGCGCCGGCCAAGGGCAAGGGCAAGGCGCGTGGCAAGGCGGTGGCCGACGAGACGGTCGCCGCCGAAAAGAAGAGGGGTGGGAATAACCCTAAAGATTCTCACCCCACCATTACCGCTCCTGGCTATGAATGGGTTAGGGGGACGTCGAGGAATTCTAGAGCATTTTTAAATCGTTTATTGAGGTCAATGTGATGTGGAAATCGCATAGAATCTACCAAGCGACCATTTCCAAGCTCATCCGGGTTGAGCCTTGTCAACCCGATGAGCGTGTGTATATTGGGGGTACTTCCACTATCCCCTTTTTCTACATGTACCAGTGTTTCTTCAGGGGCTTGGGCGTATGTCTTCCCTTCACACGGTTTGAGTGTGATTTTCTAAATTTCATCAATGCGGCTCTGTGCCAGCTGCACCCCAATAGTTGGGGTTTTTTTAGGGCTTTTCAAGTCCTGTGCTCGGCCCTGGGGATAGGGTTTTCAATGCCCATTTTTCTCCATTTTTACCAGCTCAAGCTGGGTGAGCCTCCCTTGGGCTGGGTGTCTCTGAACGGGAGTAAGGCTGGGGGTTTGTTTTCACTTTACTCCCAGTCGTACAAGAGCTTCAAAAAGAAGTTCTTCCGAGTTCGGCCTGCCGAGGCCGACCTGCTAAAGGATGAAGTGTTCCATTTCAGCGGGTTGTCGTGGTTCCCTCTCTTCTGGCAGCAGAATCCGATCAAGTTCAACGGGTCAAGCAGTCTTTAGTTGATGACCTCGGATACTGCTGCCATTGCTGACCTAGCCGTGCTCCCCGGCCCCTTGGATTGCAAGCTCGTTCTGTCGCTTGCTAACATGGTGAACAAGGAGAGGATTTTAGAGAGTGAGTACCTTGTCTTCTTTAGTTGTGAGGCTCTTTGCCTTTTTGCTTTTTCTTATGTCTTGGGTTTTTGTGCTTGCAGGTATAATGGGCAAGAGTAAGTGGCGCGAGTTGAAAGCCCGCTACAACACCGAGGAGATTGAGATCCCCGAGCCCGGGGAGGAGGAGGTTGCTCCCCTGGAGACTCGTAGAAAAAGAAAGAGGGGTGAAAAGAGAGTCGGCGAGACCTCTACCCCTCAAGATGCTGAAGAGGTGACCTTGAAGGCCACCGACGTCGACCCGGTCAACCTCACTGAGAGTCCTCCGTTGGGGGGTCATCCAGAGTGGCCACGGAAGAGGTCGCTCATAAGGTGCAGGTTTGTGTTTTTTCCTTGTTATTTCTCTTCCGCGTTGCATGATTGTCCTGTATTGTAACTTAGAAAAATTTCTATTTTGTGTAGGTGGAACCAGCCCCGACTTCCGCCAAGGCTTTATTGAAGCCGAGCTCAGGGGCGCCAAGGCCGAGTGCCTCAGCTATTGCACAGGCGATTCCTACTCCAACCCCCGCCGAGGTCCACGGAGAGGGGCCGAGCTCGGGGACTCCGACGCCAACTCTTGCAGCCGCTGCGCCGCCTCCTCCTCTATCGGGGGCTCCAAAGGGGAAGTTCATCGCGCAGCGTTTCGATGTTAATTACCCCCTGGCAAGGTTGGACCATGTGAGCGTGTCATCGGATGTGGACTCGATGTGGAGTTCGAAGGTGACCACCGAGACCTTCTACCCGAGAGGTGCACTTCGCTCGATTGACAAGGCGATGATCGAGAAGGTAGGGCCAGTGGAGGGTCTAAACACGGAGGAGGTCTTCATGTAGAGGTCGATCACCATTGTGGACCATTGGGAGCGCAGGTGGTCGAAGCTGCAAGGGGAGCTCGAGAGTGCCAGAAGCCGAGTTCAGTCCCTAGAGGAGGAGAACCGGGCCTTGGGGGCCGCTTTGAGCGAGGCAGTAAAGAAAAATGAGGTCGAGCTGCAAGCCACGAGGAGGGATCTCGCAAGGACTCAGAAGTCTTTGGAGATTGTTTTGAGGGCTAACGAGGTCTACGCTGCCCAGGTTGGCGAGCTTCAAGAGATTGCCAATACTTCTCGAGGTCGGGCGCACTCCCTAGAAGATGAGGTCTCGTCGCTGAAGGCTGACCTGGCAGAAGCAGCCGAGAGGCGTCTCTATGACGAGGTACTTTTGGCCGGTAAAGAGGAAGAGGTAGGTGCCTTGAAGACCGACCTTGATTGGGTGATAACGGCGTGGGCGAGCTTGGAGGGGAAACTTGTG